AGGGGGGAAAAATGCTAGGGGAACATGAAGGGTGATGCTGTAGACACTTGCCTAGAAGAAAATATTGTAATATAAGCAACTGGTGTAGGAAACAAAATTATGCTTAACATCCCTCCTGGCCTCTGAGGATGCATAGTGAGTCTGCCAAGGAATCCTCAGGGGCCAGGGCTTCTTTATTTTTCATTTTTAAAAAATTTTTTAGAGAGCTTAGGGATAGGCTGTTTTATTTTATTTATTTTTTGAACCACACCTTGGGGCATGTGGGATCTTAATTCCCTGATCAGTGATGGATTGAACCTGCACCGCCTGCGTTGGAACAAGTCTTAACCACTAGAGACCACTAGGGAAGTCGCAGACCAGGGCTTCTTTAGATTCATGCACAGGTACACAGGCACAGGCACAAGCTGGGGACAGAGGCTGGGGTAACAGATACACGGGACTGTAGGACAGCATCCAAGGTGGATACTGCCTGACCTTAGGCAGTTGGATTAAGTGAGCCTGTTCTTGGGTTTCCTGTCTTGGCCTTGCTGCTCACGGCAACCCTAGGCCTGGGAGGGGTGCTGGGAATAGGATGTCTGTCTGCAGGATGAATGATGGCAAGGCTGCTGGACCTCTGCCCAGTACATCACTGTTATGTCCTGTCAGTTCCAATGCTTCTGGATGCAACTTACAGAATACCCACCAGCAAGTGACCCACCTAGCTGGTGATTTTGTTTTTGCTTTTTCACGTGACAGGTCTGGAGTTGAGCTCTTGGGTAGGTCAAAGCTAAGGATGTCTGATCTCAAGTCGGCTTCCCTGTTACCCTCAGGGCCAGGGCCCATGAGCCCTCACTCCTCGGGTAAGAACCTCTCTCATCTGAGCTCCAGCTTCCCAGTCCGGCAGTTCCGGATGCCCAGTAACTTGTTGACCAGATCCACCTGGGTTTTATTTTAGTGCCAGCACAGGTGTGTCACACCTGTCACACCTCTGAAAGCACGCTCTTCCAGCCCATTTGGTGACCATAGTAACAAAAACCTGCCAAATTCGGAGTGCTCTGACCTGGATCCCTGTACATTCTTCGTAAATCCATGCCATGGATGAATTTATTTCTCCTGGGGAAATTGTTAGCCAGTATTTTTCACTCAGTATTACCCTAAAGTCAAAACTTAGGAGAGGGACTTCCCTGGTGGTCCAGTGGTTAAGACACTGTGCTTCTAATGCAAGGGACACAGGTAGGATCCCTAATCTGGGAACTAAGATCCTGCATGCTGCAGGGTGCGCCCCGCCCCCCTAAAAAAAAAAATTCAAGAAAAGATTGATTGGGCCAGGAATGCCTCTCTGAAAATAAACTTAAGTGTTGTTCGTGGAACTCCATGGAGACAGAAGAAGGAAGTCATCTGATAAAGGGCTAATTGCGCAAGAAGGGCCTGACCAAATGGGTTGTATCAGATTTTGTTTTTTCAGCTTTGTTGAGGTATAGCTGACAAATAAATCTGCAAACTATTTAGTGTGTACATAATGATGTAATATACACCTATGTGATTTACCGGATTTAATATTTAGAAAAAGTTTAAACCAGCCTTTCTGGAAGAGCTTCTGAAATGGAGGTTTCTGAACCTGTTGCGTAACAGCAGGGCCCAGCCCTTCTCAGAAGACCTGTGGACTCAGTTCTGCTGCCTGCTCCCAGATCAGGCAGTGTCCCAGAGGCAGTACTACCAAAGGCCAGGACCTCAGGCAGACTCACTGGGATTCCTTCACTTTTACTTGTTAATTTGAGCTGCTGATTCACAATGGGGTGGAGTGGGTGCAGGTCCCAGCCAGTAGCAGTAGGGTGGTTGAAGGAGGAAGAATGTGTGTGTGTTTTTGGGGAAGAGTTCTAGTTTATGCGGAGGAAGATGAACCCTTAACGGGGCTTTACACTGAGTCTTCCTGAAAAAGAGAGTTGGAAAAGACAGTTAAAAGAGGCAGGCAACTTCAAGTCTGAGGAGGAGCAGTCACCAGCCAGCGTCAGCCACATGGGGATCTCGGAAGTTCCTTTCTCTTAGAGCTCAAGGCATAAACTGAAGAAGAAGAGAAAAAAGTGGGTGATGAGGGGTGAGTCACTGGGCACCCAGACTCTCACCCTCTGGGGTGAGACGAGTCACTCACAGATGTCATGAGTCTTGGTTCTAAGAGGGGCACAGATAGGGTGGGGTCTAAATGGGCAATAGAACTTGGCCTTTGGTCACCTCAGAGGGGACTCAAAATCTGAGATGGAGGGGATTTCCCTAGCAGTCTAGTGGTGAAGACTCTGCGTTTCCAATGCCGGGAACGCAGGTTGCATCTCAGGTTGGGCAACTAAGATCCCACATGCCGTGTGGAGCAGCCAAAAAGTAAAAAAAAAAAAAGCTGAGGTGAAGAGGGCTTGCAGCCAGAGGGAGGTGGTAGGCCTGTTGATGATGGAGGGAGAGGGAGCAGGAACAGATACTGCCCTTAATGACCTAAGGCCAGACGGAGGGGAAGAACAACAGCAAAGATTTCTGCTTAGGTTTGGAAGAGAAGTTCTTCAGAGTTGATTCCAACACAGCAGGGACTTGAGTCACCAATGTGACCGTGAATACTGGGACCCCAGAATCTCTGGACCACATTCTGGACTGATAACGAAGTATCTGGGTACTTGTCTGTCCAAACAGAAGCGTCACTGCAGTGCTTACTTCGGGAGCACATATACTCCAGTTGCAATGATAAGAGATTAGCATGACCTCTGCACAAGGATGACATAACAAATTTGAGAAGCGGTCTGTATTTAAAAAAAAAAAAATTGAAAAAAATACAGAAGCAGCTTCATTGCATACAGCCCTGCAGAGTCCCTTGTACAGTGATAGGAAGTGGCTCCAGATCTGTCTGTCTCAAGAGATTACTGACAGCAGGGACCACAGATGGAGGGGCTGGAACTGAGCCACACCTGGGAAGTGGCAGCTGGCCTCCAAGATATGCCCCGCCCTGAGCCTGGCCCCGAAATTGCAACTGCTGGGCAGGGTCAGAGCAACCAACTGTGTACTCTGCTGACTACCTGAGCGGCAGCAACCAGTTAGCACAGCTTCAGAGCAGACAGAAGTGCTGGATGGACCTATGCAAAGATCTAGCAGTGTCCTGAGGAAAGAAAGTTATGTCTCATGAGCTGCCAACTGTGTAAAGTAGACTTATATGGTCCTAACACCTGGAAAAGCTGTTACCAAAAACAGGAGTCACTGCCTGATGGGCATAGAAGCCAATACTACAGCACCTACATTTTTGTCTGCACTGGGATCTTAGTTGTGGCACATGGGATCCTTAGTTGCAGCACGTGGGTTCTAGTTCCCTGACCAGAGATCGAACAGCAGCCCCCAAGTTGGGAGCTTGGAGTCTTAGCCACTGAAACAGTAGGAAAGTCCCTGGTACCCACTTTTAAGAAGAGTTTTAAAAATTTTTTTAGTTCTACCAGTTTATTGCTACCAACCCATCTCCCTCCACCCTCGTGCATACATGCTCAGTCATGTAACTCCATGGACTGCAGCCTGCCAGGCTCCTCTGTCCATGGACTTTTCCAGGCAAGAATACTGGAGTGGGTTACCATTTCCTTCTCCAGGTTGAGAAGAGTTTTACTGGGAGCTGACCTTAACTGGGAGGTCGATGGGTAAGGACTCAGGAGGCAAGACTGTCAAATCCGTGTCCCTAATCCAAAATCACTGCAAATGGTGACTGCAGCCATGAAATTAAAAGATGCTTGCTCCTTGGAAGAAAAGTTATGACCAACATAGCATATTAAAAAGTAGAGACATTAATTTACCAACAAAGGTCTGTCTAGTCAAGGCTATGGTTTTTCCAATAGTTATGTATGGATGTGAGAGTTGGACTATAAAGAAAACTGAGTGCTGAAGAATTGATGCTTTTGAACTGTGGTGTTGGAGAAGACTCTTGAGAGTCCCTTGGAAAGGAGATCCAACCTGTCCATCCTAAAGGAAATCAGTCCTGAATATTCATTGGGAGGACTGATGCTGAAGCTGAAACTCCAATACTTTGACCACCTGATGTGAAAAACTGACTCATTTGAAAAGACCCTGATGCTGGAAAGATTGAAGGTGGGAGAAGGGGACAACAGAAGATGAGATGGTTGGATGGCATCACCGACTAGATGGACATGAGTTTGAGTAAACTCTGGGAGTTGGTGATGGACAGGGAAGCCTGGCGTACTGCAGTCCATGGGGTTGCAGAGTCAGACATGACTGAACTGAACTGAATCTAGAGTTTGATCAACCTTTATTGAGTTAGGGGAGGATGGGTTAGTATGTGGCAGGTTTTGATTGGAGGGCATTAGAACTTGGCCATTTAAGGTATGATCTTCCTGGACAATGGAACTTTCACTTTTCAAAGTGTTCCAGCATTCAGGTTATGGTTATGTCCAGATTCTTTTGATTCTATGTCAGGGAGGTGGGGTGGAGGTGGAGAAACTTGATTCCAGGCATTATTAAGAGGTCAAAATTTTTCTCCTGTGCACATGCTCTGGCTGCATTTGTGGTTTTGCTCTGTTGTCTCTGAAGAACTCACTATCTTGGTATCAACAGATGAGGGCCAGTTTGGGCTGGCTCTGCAGTTACAAGGCCACAAACTAAACAAATGTGAATGGGAGCTCAGGGTGTTATTTGTTTAGGTCATTTTGAGCTGAACAGATACTCAGAAAGGAGAGGCATAACTACCAGGAGAGAGTTAGGCAATTTCAGCCCTTGACTCATCTTCCTCTTTTTTAAATAAAGACTTTCTTTTGTAACAGGGCCTCGGGATGGCCCTGCTGCATGTCCTGGCAGAGGGAGAAACCCTGGGAGAGGAGCCTGGATTCCCACAAAGGAAAGAGTGAATTCCACTGCAGACAAAGTGCTGGAGTATTCATGCTTGGCTAGGTAAGGCCAGCCAAGAAATGGGGGCTTAAGCTCCCAGCCCTAGACAATGAGGTTAGTAGGAAAGGTGTCCCACGCTGACAATGACACAGGACACACACACAGAGTTCTGCTCATATTTGGCACTTTATTGATGAGGAGCTGTGGTCTAGGAAAGGGGAAGCTGGGAGACAGGACCAGTGCCCAACTCAGGGGATTTTCCTGGACATCAGGCATTCCTCCACTAGGTTTAGAGGGAACACCTTCATTGGTAAAATCCCCGGAGAGCAGCGCTGACCGCCAAGCAGCAAGGGTAGGAGGGGCACCCTAGGCAGAGGCCCCCTGGGACAGCAGGGTTTCGATGTCAGGCTCGATGTCGATCGTCAGAAACCGGCGGCTGTACCTGCGCACGGGCACACCGTCTGGGCCCACCAGGAACTTCTCGAAGTTCCAGGAGACGTCGTTGCGGCACACCGGGGACCAGGTGATGAACTTAGGGTCGGTCATGAGAGCAGTGGCGTCGTCACTAGGCGTAGGCAGAGCCTCCCGAAGGAAGGCGAAGAGCGGATGCGCCTTCTCGCCATTCACCTCGCACTTCTCGAAGAGCATGAAATTGGGCTCGAACCCGCCGCCTGGTCGGACGTACTTCAGGCAATTCAGGATCTCCTCGTTCTTGGCGTTTTCCTGCGAGAGGGGAGAGCAGCTGGGAACCAGGGCTGCGAGGGGTAAAGGAATCCTTCTAACCGCAAACCTGGAGTTTTCCATGTGGCATTGGACTGTGACCTTTCTTGCCTAACTCCAGGGTGGATTTGAATCTCAGCCGGGAAATGCGTCAGAGGGCTGCGAGCCGAAGGCCTGCCTCTCCGCGCCCTGGGGCCTGGCGGAGCACTAGCGGGCGCTCCTAACCCGGGTCGCACGCCCACCCTCGCTCCGCGCGGTTAGGCGCACCTGATGCCCAAACTGGTTGCACGGGAAGCCGAGCACGACCAGTCCCCGGGGTCCGAGGCGCCGCTGCAGGTCATTCATCTGGGTGTAGTCCCGCACCGTTGTGCCTCAGAGCGATGCTACGTTCTCAATGAGCAGCACCTTGCCTCGCAGGGAGGCCAGGTGGAAGGGCTCCCCGCCGGCCAGAGGGCGCGCAGAGAAGGCGTACACCGTGCGCGGGGCCGCCGCCGCAAGGGCGGCCGCCGAGAGCTGAGCAGCGCACATGGTGTGGGTATCCGAGTCGAGAATAGAGAGCCGCGGACTTTAAGAACTAGGCGGGGGTCGGGAAGCGCCTGATTTTAAAAGGCGGGCTACCGGGGGTCACGTGGTGCAGGCACTTTTCCGGCCGCTGCTCCTCCCCGCCTGGGTCCCGCCTCATCCGGCCTCCGGCCTCCAGCAGCGGGCCCGCGGGGCGGGAGGGTGCGGTCGGGCCGGATGCGGACACCGCCCAGACCGTGCGGAGGCGCCGGCGCTTTGGGTCCGGCCCAGGGAGTGCAGCGCCCGCACTGCGGTAGTTGAGCGAATGTTTCCCGCCCAGGGCCCAGACGGGCTCCGGATTCTTTCGCAATGGTTCTTCAGGGATTGGATCTGGCCCCGGGAGGGTGACCAGCAACAGGAGCGTGCGCTGTGGCTGCACAGCCCTCCCCGCCTGGGCCGTATCACTACTCCTGGAGAACGAACCCTATTGGCAGGCGCGGGGATGGTGCAGTTGGCGGCAGCTGCCAACGCAGTCCGGGAGCTTTGAAGGTTAAATTGGAGGAGGGTGGGCAGTGCTGCCAAGGAGGCAGGCAGGCAGTCAGGGATGGACTGCAAAAGCCAGCTTTCTCCTATCTTTGCACTCTGGCGCTGCCCTGGACTGCTCTCATCCTAGCCTCCGGTTTCCCACCTACTTTGACACCCCCAGCACAGCACTGCCTTTACACAGGGTTTCTGGGGTCACCGTTCAGGCCCTGCTCCAGACTCCTGGAGGGGAGCCCAAAAGCATGCAGGGCCAAGGGGACTCAAGTGGGTTTCAGACCATCCTCATACCTAGCCAACTTCATCTGGAGCTCAGGCTTGCCAGTAAAAGACACGGAGAATGGACAGGTAGTAAGAAGAGGAAAATACCACACTCCCGAGATTTGTCTGGGAGAAATGACTGCTTGGAATACCTACTCCTCGGTAGGCTGTATGACCTACTCCACCCCACTCTGAACTTGAATGTGACAAAACACTCATTTCCACCTCCTTGGCTGAAGTCAGGTGAGTGCCGGTTTTGGGGAGTGGGTGGGCCAGCTGGTACTTTGCCCCCTGAAGGAAAGGTGAGCTAGGCAGAATTCACCCCCCAATCCCCAGCCCTGGAGAGAGCAACACAAACACCAGGATACAGGAAGTTTAGAAAACTGCCTTTATTCTATTAGTTGGAAAAATTAACTGGTACAGAAAAAAAGTTTAGTCAGCTGGAGAGGAGAGAGAAACTGAGGGCCGCCCAAGAGAACGGGCAGCTCCTCTGGGAGGGAACCTGGGTACAGTGAGAAGAAACAGCACTGTGAACTAGAGCCAGACCCTGCAGTCCGGGTGAGACAGTTTATGCCACCTTCTGAGTGTCCAAGTGCCTCAGGCAGAAGACTGAATTCCTATTTACTTAGCCCAGCTCTGGGGAAGGGGGTACTGGAATATGTGGGGCCGAAATGGGGGGACATGGCCATCTTTTATCCGAGAAACTGACAAAACGGGAGTTTAAAAAATCAATTTTCCATCTGACTTTATTTTCAAATACACTTTCTTAAAAAAAAAAAAAAAAAAAAAACCAATACACTTTCTGTGAAGATGACAAATATCAGTATTAGGAAATCCAATTATACAAAAAATACTACATCTAGTCTGGGGTAGATATATTTATTTTTGGTAACATACATTAAGCGGCACTAATTACACAGTAACTATAAGGTAACTAACATGAAACCACAGAACTGTAACTTTACCACAGCTGCGTGGACTTGGGCCTTTCTGGCTGAGCACATATTCAAAAAACTGGATAGCCACCCAGAGCCATGCCAATGAAATCTGTTAAAAGGAGTAAAGCTCTGAAGTGGTGACTCACCAGAGTACCGTGCAGCTGATAGATGACAGACAGGACATGTTAGTTATAAAGTAGTTACAGCCTAATTCACAAAAGTTACCAACGGTTTCTCTTTCTAGAAAGAAGCAAGAAGTTAAGAAATCCCTTGAATTAGCGCCTGGTGTGTCAGGTGGGAGTGCAGAGGAGGGCTGTTAGAGCAGTGTCAGAAGGACCCTGGTGGGTCAGGTGGGTTGGACATCATTAATAATCATGGTTGCCTTCTAAATACTGGTAGCAAGATGACTTCTGATTTGTAATCTTAGGTAAATTATAGATAAATGAAAAAGGCCAGTAATCATACACTAAGATTAATAAACAGCACTTCAAAATTAACCGCATGAGGGCTGTGCTTGCAGCAGGGGTTTCACAAGACAAGGCACCCAGATTTTTTCTTCCCACGTCTGGCTTGCAGAGCAGCTCTCGTGGCCATTTCAAAAACCTCCCTCACTCCATCTTTGGTCTTTGCTGAACACTCCATGTACCCAAAAGCACCAATCCTGTTTGCCATATCTCTGCCTTCTTCGGGTTTTACTGGCTCCTAGCAGAGAGAAGAGAGTACTTTTAGTTAACGTGTTATATACATATAGTAAGTAGGTATAGAGTATTTAAACTCTGCTAAAAGACTTCAGAAGCCAAGGTGTCACCCCCATCACTTTTAAAAGGCGTTAGGGCTCTCTGTTTGGACTCCCAGGCTGCCTGATCCTTCAGTTGCCACCAATTTATCTCCAGCCTCACATATACAAAGGTAGTAACTGGACAGGGAGACCGAGAGCCTGACAAAGCTCCTGCATCTGACACTGACTACTGCTGTGGCGGTCCCTTCTCAGGAAGGCAACCTGCACAAGAGAGGTCCCATCTTATAGGCGAGGGAGCCTTAGGGACCCTCTGTGCAGGCCCCAGTCAATGAGGGCCAGGGGGACAGAGAGGCTTCTGGGAGTCTCTCTCTGAAACAGCCTGGCCTATGAGGGTTTCTGCCTCGCTCCCTGAATCTCCAGTTGTGGGTCCTGGGTTCCCGAATGCTACAGAAGACAGAGCTCTGCCCCAGGCCGTACCTGCTTCATCTTGGCTAGCTCCCGCCTTGTGTGCTCATCGTTTCGAAGATCCTTCTTGTTCCCAACCAGGATGATGGGCACGTTGGGACAGAAATGCTTGACTTCCGGAGTCCATTTTTCTGGGATGTTTTCTGAAAGAAGCAAAATGCACATAATTTGGGGATACATATAATTCTACCTTGAAGAATTTCCAGAAGCCCTAGTTAAATTGCAAAGAAACTTCAGAAGCATGTTGGATATATAATGGAATTTCACTAGTTTCAAAACCACGAAAAAGGCAAAATCTAATCCCCCTTCTCTTAAGCACAGAATCACCAGCTTTTCTCAGTCATACCAAGGAGCTCAGCTCCCCTGGAGGTGGCGCCAGGTGAAGGCTACAGAGGAGCAAAGGATTCAGAAGGGGTGGCTCCACAATGGTGCCCCCTGCCCCACCAGCCGGCCATCCACGTCACTGCTGGGTGATTCTGACCACAGCTTACAGAAGGAGTCCCCATTCCATGGCTACAGCTAGCCCAGGGTTCACACACTTTATCTACACCTTACTCATGGGCCCTCAGGATGACCTACCCTTGGGTTACTGGAATTTCAAAGGGCTTCAGTGGCTTCTGAAAATGAGTCATAACCAGTTGCAGCTTCTTGCCAATACTGTAGTAATTTAGATAAGGTGTCCTGGGTTCAACCTCCCACACCCACCACCTTGGGCATCTCAGAGTCAGGGATGACATTATAAAATAGAGATAACTGTAAGACCTCACATGAGGTTATTCTGATTCAATGTGTACACCATACTTAGTATGATGATCATTTAAATGGTATCAATCATAATCTGACACTATGTTTTAAGCGTAAACTGTTCACTCTCTGACTTCAAGACCAAAAGGCAGGACTTAAAATATGGAAAGATGCCCTGCCTCTGGCTAGAAGGTAGAGAAATTACATGAATAAGGTCAGAAAACTCAATTCAACGCTCCACTCCTCAGCCCACAAGACAGATACTTTCCTCCTTTGCTATAGCAGCTACAGCCAATCACTAATGTGACAACTTAAAGCCTTATTCTAGAACAAAGGGGTTCCTTAAGAACTGCAGAACAATAAAGACACAAGGGCCAACATATCTGACACTGAAGCCCAGCAGCCTCAGCACTCAATCTTGCTCTCGGCTCTGCACCCTGTGGTCAGTTTTCAGTGAAGCTGCAACAGTGGGCACTTTAAAGAGTAGGTGAGATCACATCTCTCCTGCGTTCAAACCATCAAGAGTCCCCATCTCTCTCATGATCAAAGGAGGGGTTCACACCATCAGCCACATGGCTCCGCAACCCTGGCTCTCCATACAGCACGCCGGACTCCTTCCTTCTGCCTGGGAAGTCTCTGTTGGCCTCCGTCACCTCTGCTCAGAGGTCTCCTTTTCACTGAGGCTCCTGACCAGCAGCATGTGGTCATCTCCTGACATTCCATACTACCATAGCCTATTCCATATCCACCACCATGAATGTTATTTGTAACCTTCCCTGCTATCAGAGTTAGGTTTTTGCCCTTCTGTCTCCATCTAGAACATAGGTTCTATAAGTAGGTGCTCAATAATTATTTGCTAAACATACAAAATTATTACTCTAATAGTCTCCCCACCTCCAGAATCCAGGACATGTAAAATAGAATGAATTGCCTCTCTTATGTTCACTTTTCATGAATAATTTTAAATTTTAATTTTTTTACCTTTTAATTCAGTGATGGCAATCGCCTATAATTGCTCCTACCCTCAAAGTAATCTGATCGTATCAGGACACATCACTTTATATAGATTTACAGTGGAGTGCTTTGGATGTCTTTGTGAATTCCATTAAGCTAGAGAAAAGGAATTCTTATCTAGATCCGGAGTCTACTTTTATAAGTCAAGTTTTACTGGAACAGAGCCAAGCTCATTCATGGATTTATTTTTTATGACTGCTTTTATGCTACAACAGTATAGCTGAGTAGTTACGGCAAATTCAGGAAATGCAACAGAACACATGGCTAACAAGCCTAAACTATTTACTATTTGGCCTTTTACACAGGATTGGCCAGCAACAGGGCTGAAACCTGCATACCAACATTTTTTTTTTTCACACCAACATTCTGATTGCTGATCAAACTTGTTATTCTACACCCAGACTCTGGCCCATGGT